TCCACGGTTCACAAGCGAGCAACGCGCGGTTGTTATGTCAGTGACTTCATTGCCGAGGGGTTTCCAATATTTTTGAGCAAAATACAAATATTTACCAAAAATGGAACGGGACCCGAAATTGAACACTTTTCATATATCTTGTGCAGCATTCTTCTTTTAGTATACCAATGAATGGTATCTCTTCCAAATCAAAATTTATATCGTTTTAAGTATTTGGAGCAAAATATATTTTTCTGTCTCTTGTATTGTGCTCACAAACCCAATTGGGAAAAAAAATGAAATAAGTACAAATCCAAGGAAATGGTACGGTGTGACAACTTGAATATCCTATCACATGTTTAAACACGGAAACATATTCGTTCAAATGAAAATTTTAATATTCATTTGGACACTTTTAATATTCATATGACATCGAAAACGTCGAAACTTTCATAAAATAAAGAAAAGTATTCTAAATGTTGTCAGTTATTTCCATAAACTGACTTACATGAGACTGAAATCCAAATGGATGCAAAAGGGGCATCAGATCAATTGCTGTTCCTGTAATAACCCTTCAGAAGTTGACACAAAGGAAAAACTCTAAATTCTGCATCTGGAGTGCCTCGCACTACAGTCACCTCTTGTGACATACGGTGGGATCAAAGCAGGACTATTCTTTCCCCGAACCTGTCTTTCCTCAGGGGTGTCATTTACACTAGAGACGATTGTGTGAGCCGAGAAAAAGGAGTTATTGGTTGAGTATCATATTTTGTTTACTTTTGTAAAGATAGGAAATCGAATTAAATGTGGTGTACAGTGTATTGTATCAACTAAATCAGTTTTAAAAGCTATTTGACTACTAACAAAATATCCTATTGTATAACAAAACAACTCACATATGTACTTTACAAAAGTCTACATTCAGTGTTTGTTTATACTAGTCAAATGTTATTTGCAAAGCCGCTTAGTAAATTTTGTCAGTATATATATTTTGTCTGCTTTCGTGATTACCAGGTAATTTTATATACCAGTTTAATTGATGCTCACGGAGAAAACCAATCGATGAACGGAAACGTAACCGTAGCAATATATTTGTGCTTGTTGAGACACTGATCGAAACATTAAACTAGTAATAATATTTTAGAATAACTTCATGTACATAAACTACATCATTTTAATATGAATGAGATCATTTAAAATCTAATTCAGTGTAAAATCTGTTTTCATCATGAAAATGAATCTTTAAAAAAATCTAAATAAATAAATACATGAAATAAATAATATATTAATAAGTAAATAAAATTAAAAAAAAAAAATTAACAACATAAATGATTAAAATTCTTAATTAAAATGAATAAGAAATATTTCTAACTAAATAAAGAAAGCAAATAAATTAATAAATTCTGTAAAACATAAATAATCCAACTTTCGGATTGTGTTGTAGAGAAAATTACTCGAGATTTAACTGGAATCACATTCATCCGAGTTGAGTGTATTAAAGTCTTATCAACGTTTTTATATCCGAGTTTTAAAGTCTACAACCCGATTACTACCATAATCCATCCAATGCGTTTACTCGGTCATAGCTGCAATTGTGCCGACATAAATCGTTAGCAGATTGTTAGGTTTCTATTCACTCTGTAAGTTATATAGATTTTATTAAGTAGGGCACATTATAAAACCTATTGAACGCCTTATAGAATTCCACAAATCTGACGATGACCTCTACTGGTTTGCATTAGGCCTATAGCCAGTACCTCTTTGTTATGAACGTATTGACATTATTTTAAGGATCCATGTCCTAGAAAAAAAAGTCAAAAACCAAAAAACACTGCTTTCCTATTGTGTTTACTGTATTACACTCGGACTACCAGTGTACTTCTCAGACAAATTTACACGTATCATCTGTATAGAAACAGTGAGATATCACACTGTAAACAATGTATCTAACTATACTTAATATTTTCATACAGCATCATCATGAGGAACAGAAATAGTTCCGCGTAATCACAGTTTGAAATTGATAAATTACTTATAATTACGAGTCACAGACATTTAACTGTTATACTTATGATGATATAAACTGTAGGGTTGTCGATACATTTTTCTTTATACTTGTGGGGACGCTGTTACAAACCCTGGATCTGAATCCTATCATGGCGACACATTTGATAATTTTGAATATTCTCTGTACACCTTTACTTCCGGTGTCTCAAACCGATTGTTGAGCTACAATATAAAGTCACCACCTCGTCATCGTTCATTGAAACTTAGCTTCACTTTGACGAAATAAGTACACATGGAATTCGATTTAAATGATTTTCTAACCCATGCTGTTACTATAGGCTGAAATGATTATGTGGCGGAGTTGTTGTTCATGTTAAACGTTATTCGTTTACTAAAGGACTTAATGTTTTAGAATTCCCACAATTAAATGTGTATAAATCGATATGCCAATGTCCAACATGTAGTCCATCATATAAGTCGTCTACAGTACAGTTTATAGACTTCACATTCTCATGAATGTGATTAACCTCCTTTTTAACTGAAGATTAGGATAAGATCAATATTTTTCCATAGATAAGGCATGTATACATGTACAGTAACTGCATTATGGTTTTGAAAATTACTGGTTCATTGAAGATTTTACTGTATTTTTTAACATTACAGTGGAGGGCCCCTTCTATTCTTCGGCTTCATTTTCTACAATTGTATCTATAATACCGTTCATGGCATATGATCATAACCATTTAACCATTGAACTTCACTTAGTTCAAAGTTATAGTCCAATCATTCTAAACAGCATTGCACACGCAATTATTACTGATGTTTTTCCGTTTATTTTTTGTTTGTTTTACTTAACTTACTGCATAATAAATACTCCTTCATTTTGATGCTTGTACCTTTCCGTATTTTTATCGGTTTTCAATGTGCCCGTGTTATTAAATAATCTATCATAAGGCCTGTTGAGGGAATAAGACGTACGGTTTCGTAAAAAACATACTGTGCTTGCTCCTGAATCAACTTCGTTTGCATATCTTAATGCATTACATTTCGTGTCGTTAATTATTGCAGAAATACAGTTAAAAGCATTTTTGTATTAGTAAACATCAATTTGATATCCATTTTAGCATTAATATTGTAACTAAGGAGTGTGTTTTTTTTACTCGGATTGAAAGTAACACAATTTTTTTTTCTGGTAATTGTTGGTTTCCGATTGGTCGTTATAGATAGTGATTTCTTTTTGTAATCTGAATATGCTGAGAGAGATAATGTAGTAACATAAACAAATAAACGAAAGAAACTGACAGCAATATTAGTTATGTTATTGAAGTACAGCAGAAAAGCAAGGGTCTATTATTGAACCTTGTGGTAGTTCAGCAGAAAGGACTTCCTTTACAAGTAGTTTTGAGAGTACAAAGCACGATTTTGGTAACTATAAATACATAGACTTTATGAAAGGTTTAAAATTGTAGATGTTATGCATTTTAAGAGAATACAGTATAGTTATTTTGGTACTAGGCAATATTGGACTTGTGACATTGCCTCAAGTTATGTATGTAACCTAAAGTAATTCTCGACCTTTCGGTAGATTATTTCTTTTTCGCGAACGTTTCATTTCGTGTATGCGTGTACAAGGAATATAATTCACTGTTCGTGTTTAAATCCTAAAAAATATGATTTGAAGATTTGGAAAGAAATTTAATACCGAATTGCAGATTCCAATGTTCGAGCACAGGTAAACAAACATGTAAGAGGGGTCGTGACGATAGTGGAAAAGTTCAATTGTATTTGTATTTGTAACTCAAAACGAAGCCTTAACTGTTTAAAAATCTAAACAGATTACATGTTTTAAATTGCAACAATTTGATAAAAGAAAACAATTGTTTTTTGTTAAAAACGACTGCGTGATTTAATACTTTTGATGCTTTAAAAGAAGGCATTAAAACACGTAAGTGAAGGCTTATTGTCTAAAAATGAAAATAAGCCGAGGCTTATTAGCGAATCATCATGGTATACCGTATATTTTTGTAAGACTTGAGATACTTCAATATAATGAAGTTATTAACGTTATATGTGCTACCATTCCTTGATACGTATCCCATTGCCAAAAGAGGCGAAACTGTTGTATGCAAATCAGTTACCTTATGTCAGAAAACTTTGAAGGAGAATAACGGTTGAATTATACATTTAAAGGGGAGTCACTCTGGTATACAAATAACAGTTACATGCACTTCGTGCCGGATACAGTTTAAGGGGAATAACTCTTGTATACAAATCAGTTAAAATTTGCCAGATACTTTTAAAGGAGTGCAATTCTTGTGTACAATTCTTAGTTATATGTACGACATATATCTCCAAAGATAATAAATATATGTTTGTTGCGTGTTTCATATCGGTATGAACAATCAAAAAGTCCTTAAGTATCAGCGTATATTTTACATGTTTAATATAGTTTAGTTCCGTTTCGTTAATTTGATCAATAATGCCGATGGCTCAAACATTTCACTGGTCATACAAACCCTGACCGCACCATCAATGTCCAGTATGATTTTATATATTATTCTGATAAGATGGCGGCATGTTTACTATCGTTACGGAAAATATGTCAACTGTCAAACATAATAAATGCGATTCAGAAATTATAGTAAATAATGACAACTTACTTAGTACTCTGTGAGAGGCCTTTCAGCGAATCATCGGTACAGGCATTCAACATTGACTGGAGTGATAGCGTCTAGCCAGATGTTCCTGATTTCACGAACATGTTGGTGTAGGTTGCTGCTGATACAAAATAAAAACATCAAACAAACTTAAAGGTAAAAGACAACGTCAATTTGAATATTGAAGGTTGCTATTGTGGCCCAAATTTCGATTGTATTAATATCTAGGCTTTGGGCTGGCAAGCTCTTTGTCGTAATTCCATTTCTATGAATAAACTCTTTGGTAAAACGTGCACAGTGGACAGGTGCATTGTACAACAATTTTTGTTATAACAACTTTTTTATTTTTATTTTTAGGAAGCAATACAACGTCGTCATCTGGATCTTCGGGTACAAATTACGATGCATCAACTAAACTCATCGCCACAGTCTGCATTATCATCGCCGCCATCATTATTTCCGTCGTCGTCGCAAAAATAGCCGATATGTGTTACGACCGGCACGTGCTTCGTGACGATGCCAGCGACGTAAGCGACCACACCAAAGGACTCATCCGAGCTCGACTGGCCATCATACAGATGAAAAAGAAAGACAAAAGCAAAAAGACCTCCAGGAACTTGTTCCGGATCTGGTCTGCTAAAACCAGAAGAGCAAACCAGCAACAAGGGACAAACAATAGTTCAAACACACAAAAGGAACGAAGTGTTGTAATTAACGTAGATGAAGCGCCACAGACAGACAAAAATACGGACAAATACTCACAACAGTCAGGTAACAATTCACCGTCTAGAGTTCATGCCAGTACAATCTCTGCTGAAGCTAAAAATAAAAAACAAGGTGCTTCGAAAACTCAGAATTCGCAAAAAACTGCTAAATCACCGATGCCACAGAAGACTCCAGCGAAACAAAACAAAGTTGATAAAGCTGGGTCGAAAAAGCAGGCGGCGTCTACTGATAAACGCGTGACATTCAGGGAAGAAAGAAACGTGATGGAAATCCAAAGTGTCTCAACGTTAGGAGCTCAAGCCTGATATAGCTTTGTTGCTAGGATACCAAATATTAAGTTCTAGTAAACAATTGCTTCAACATAACTGATTATATATGAAGTCAGTTCTTCCATTAGATGACGATTTTCAATGATATTCAGAGTCGGTTGCACAAAACCGAATCAGAATTATCTTTTAAAACGATAACAAGAACGTCCTGATAAAGAAAACATATTTTTTCCAATTTCAGCCTTTGCTACGATGGACACCGATTTGTATTTTTGGGCACAGTCTAGGAAAAATTATATATGCAATTTAGTCTAAATATTTTAGCATGCTTCCTACCGAAGGATAATAGTACTAAGACAGGTAAACCAATCTATAAAAGTAAACACGAGTGTTTAGCCTGACTATCAGAAATATTTCATGAGAACATTGCCAGGACGGGTAAAAGTGAGAGGAAAAATACTAGTATAGAACATCTAGTAGAACCTGAACATTTCGGAGTTCACTATCAAAATGAATATCTTAAAACAGATCGGACTGCCTAACAAAAAGGCAGGTATAGAATATTCCAGTTTGTTTTGCCTTATAAGTGTGTTTCCTGACTGAATTCTCAGGGTTAAAATGACGTATTGTTGATTCAGATCCTCTCTTTCAGTGCATGTCTCTTATAGTTTCACTCTCTTTTTGTTATTGAAGTACTGCATAATAGCACCCTACTTGTTGATTTAGATCCACTCCTCAGTGCATGGCTCTTATATTTGCGCTCTCTTTTGCTATAAAAGTGTTTGGAAGAAGACATGTCGTTCATACTGCATAATACCACCCCCTCCCCTATGTCGAGATCAGTTCACCGATGACACGAGTTGATTTAATATATGTAGTTATTTGTCAGTGATATTGAACACATATTACGTCATCAGGGGAACTGTGACAGCTACATCACCCGTTACACTGAAGTGCTATGACTGGTCATCGAACCAATTGTTTCTACAATATGTACACACAGAAGCTATTTGATGAATCATTCAACCAACGAAAACAATGGAAATCTGCATGATGCAATTAGTACTGGTGTGTTTTTTTGTTTTAAATTCTGGTTGCATATTTCTCATTTCCAGTTAATATAACACACCGTCACTGATAAGATTCATAGCTTTTATGATTAAAAAAGTTATTGTAACACGACATATTTCTAAATATGCTGTAATCAAACTGTTGTATATCAGACTTGGATTAGTGTTGATGCTTTCAATCTTATGCATTTGAAAATAACTTAAACGGTTAAAACGATGTACTATGTACAAGAAGAAAGGGTGGTCAAAGGAGAAAAGCAATGAATAATGTAATATGTTGGACTGCAGTACTTTTTTCAGGATGCAGCGAGCAAGAAAGAGTTCCATTGAATGAATGACTTTGAGGATTTTTATGCTGTTGTTGACATCGATTTTTTAACAAAATATTTGTTATTGTTACACTATCTATTCCTTTGGTTCAATCATCATTAAATCTTTTGCTGAAAAGATCCTTAATTAATTGATTTGCGAAGAATTAAATTATGCCACGTGTTGTTTTTTTGATGATTTCGTTTTATTATCAATATTTAATTTTCATTGTTTGCATTCATCCATCAATTAAAGAATATCAAATCAACAACTTATCAAATTATTTCAAATTTTTAGGATATGTGATAACGATTCCCATTTTACCGTATATTCCCTTAAAACAAACCTACAAACAAAAAATGTGGATTGATTCGAGGTAACATTTGGAGTCGCAAATCTCGATTTAGTGAAAATTAACGATAGTTACTGAGAACGAATTTAGGACGTTAGGACGTTAGTTGTAATGCTTTTGTTTCTGTTGATATTAGCGATAGGCACTAATACGAACTGGACTGCGACGTGTAAAGAAAATTAATTGCTGTCTACATCATGTTAACGTGTTGAACATGATATCATTGATATCTGCTTTTAAACAGGTATGCGCTCGATTTATTTCATAACACGATTTTGAAAATAATATTTCAAAGAGCTTATATTGCAAACAGCCACACCCTCAAATTGTATAAGGCAGATGTTTTCATTTGTTTGAATGCAAAACACTAGCGACAGTGTCCGTCGTTAGGTATTTCATGCAGTTAGTCAAACATTGATTTAAGTAACTTAAAGTAAAGTTAGCCAAATACTAAGAGAGTTATCCCTCACGATTAGCGAAACACTGATAGAAAAACAATATCCTATACCGTTAAGTATCCGTGTACCATGCTAAAAACTGTAACTATACATTTTCACATTTCCAAGAATGACCTTCCTTTAGTAAATCATTTCTGGATAAACTGTAATTTAATTTATTTTAAGCTTACAAAGATAATTAATTATTTCCACTTTCACTTTCCATCGATAAATCACATATGAAAAAATACGATTATATTAAAGAGAAACTGCAGAGAATACTTTAGCGACAACTCCTGAATAAGGATCTTGAACCAAGCATTGATTGAAGCTGATATTCACAGTCTGATTCATTGAAAAAAAATAACAAACACATTTCGATCAGATAAAAATGTATTGAATTATTCCTTTTTCTTTTAAAAATAACTTGATTGCTCAATCAAGTTTCCATCCTGAGAAGGTAGACACTGCCACGTCGGTTCGACTCAGCAACACCCCGTGCCCATAGAGAGGCCCCATACGGATGAAGACATGATCTCTCTGGTTTAGTGTGAGGACGACAACAGCTGTAGTTTGATGGATGTCTTTTGACAACTCAGAATCTGTCCATGATGATCCTCGCACGGCTGAATTAACCACCAGAACTGTTTGCAATTCTTCTTGTCCGTAGCAGATAGACGTCCACGTGAAGACGTAGGTGCCTGCCTCCGGTACTACGTACACCCCGTTCCTCGGGTTGTATCCGTATCCAATGTCCAGCGTCTCGTTATCATACACTACTACGTCATCATTAGAAACAAAATTGTCCTTGGAGAGGACCACGTGGAACGCAATGGTTTGCCGAGCAGAAGGCGTCGTAGATCCTACAATACAACAAAAGACTTTACAGTGGTATGCTAGTGATGTTATCCCAATGCGTTAGGAGTGATATTACTAGCAATACTTAGGCATATACTATATTTATGACTTTGAACCTAATAAACGTGTTTGCACAATACCGTTCACGGGGACATGATAATTTGTTACAGCTATATTTGGACCAAGGGACCTAGATCTAGATGTTTGAGCATGGCGTTAACCTGATGCATATGGAAAAGGTGGCTCTTTGACTGCGGCAGCTTTGAAAGATCGAAATGGTGTGTGATGTCGGAGTAAACGAAGAGTCAGTCTGCGGAAGTAGAAGGTTTCTTAATGAAAAGAATTACCAATCTTGTCAATGGTACAAAAGATTGTTTGTACACCAACTAAACCTTTAGGTGGGTTCGATTTTTTGAAATTGAGAGCCTTTCCCCCTTCTTGTATATATCATAATTTTGGGTGGCATTTTTACCGAGGTTGTTCCAAAAACCTAAAACATGAAATATCACTTTGATTACCTCAGTTTATGTCTACAAATAGCTGTAACCATTTCTGAGGTCCCTGTGGTACTTCTATTTCCTAAAAGACGATAACACAAATATATAGTGACATTATTTGCATACAGCTTTATTCTCAACTTTACACGAATACAGCGTTATCATTATATAACAAACATTGCTTTATCTTATATTATAACCAGTTTTGTGTAAATTATGCTTACAGGTTCGTTTCAAAAACGGGTGATATGATTATTTAATTCGCACTTATTTTGGTCAAAACTGACGAATTTTCTTCCAAACTTTTGAGAAATCTTATGTTTACATTTGGTACCTTTTACGTTAGCTTTACCTCCTGGATTGAAAAAAGTAACTGTTGCATGTATAGACAAAAATGACCGGAAAGGAGAAGTGAAACGAACATATTACAATATACCTTAGTTTTCTTAAATAACGATTCCAGTCCGACTTAAGGTAAAACACACAAGACAATTGAGTTTTTGTACATAAAAAAGCCCTTCCTTAACTTCAATTAGGATATAACTGAAGTGCGATTGGATAAGGGTCAAATCGTTGATCATGTACTATAGTTAGTTAGAGAGACATTATAATAATTGGAGGGCTAGTGTTCAAATCCTTCATAAGGATGAATTTTCTTTCAGAAATGATATATCAAAGCTATAATCATGGCGATAGAAAGTGTCCAAAGTATAGTTAGAGTTGTCGACTATGGTACATGTAAGGGGACCATGAAGTAAAATGAATGCCATGCCTACTAACACTACTCATTTTTTATTGAATCTACTAAAATATGAAATGCTATTAACATTTTCTCTAATTAGACTGAACAAAGTTCACAGGACACATTTTGATAATGCTTCGTATTTATCACATTATTTATAGTGTTCTTACCTTTGTGTTGGAATCTCGATATCTTTGATGTCGACTCGTTCTCGTTTTGTGCAACAGTTTCTTCCTCGTCGGATTGATTCAGGACACGTTCATTGTCATTTTCGATGCGAGGTTTAGAGTGAGTCGGCATGATACTAACATTTTGATGGTTAGTGGATTCCGGAATGGGGAGTTGTGCGGCAGACATTTTCTTAACAGAAGATCCAGATTTAGAGTCAAAGGATTTACCTAATCCAAGTCTATTTTTGTGGTAAGTTCTAGGAAGTTGAGATCTAATATTTTGCCTCGATTCACGTTCACTTGGGGTGGTATCAGATATTACGATTCTCTCTAAGTCTGATATTCTTGCCAATAGTGTGTCGACAATTTCATCGTTCTGTGATAATTCTTTCTCAACTGACGTCACCCCCTGTTTAAGCTGCTGGATTTCAGTCGTCTGACCGGCTATGTTTAATATTAGTAGATCTATTTGCTCGTCCTTTTTTGTCAATAGTTGTTTCATACCCTTAATGTTCTCGTTTACAAAGGTTACAAGGTCCTGCCATTGTTGAAGTGGAATATCGGGGTCCAGGTGCCTCTGAGTTAGAGGCGGGTTATCAGGATCAAAGCCATGCGACTTTAGGGATGGGTTCCCGGCGTCAGGCTGGTTTGTTATCATATGTCCGAAAGTACCGGTCACATATATGACAAGTACGAATTTCTCAAGCATGGCGGCCATCCTATCCTTCACACTTGTTTACATGTACAGTTTAAACCTACGTTTCTCTTATCTTATCATTTGTACCAGTTTTACCTTATAACGACGATAGCAGCGGTCAAGGCTAGACAAGGGAGTAATCAATCTGAATTTTGACGATATCTGTTGATATGGAAAGACATACTGTACACCGGGAAATTTTCGCTGCAGTATAACTTTCGCCTTATTTCGCCCTCGGTCATGATGGCAAATTTATCATTACAGCATATAAAAAACTTAATGAAATAAATAGTGATTAAATGTAAAGAGCGAAGTTAATGCTTGGGGGAAATGATTTTATGGGCGAAGGGCGAAAGTTTGATTGGGCGAACATTTTCCGGTATACAGTAGTTGTCTTGTAGCAATGACTTTAATGATATACAGTGTCTGCACTTTAAAAAGTATGTTTTTATTTATATATCATAGGCTACCATCACTATTCTACTATTTCGTCGGGTTATGGCGTTGTTATAATATGAACAGCTGCTTACACTATTTTAAATACGATAATTTTATTATGTCGTGTAATTTAGTTTAAACTTTATTTTAATGATGTTTAATTACAATAGTACATGGTTATAAATACAGAAAAGGATCAAGAAACAAGTACATAGTACTTATGTAAATCCGTCTCCTTAATGTCGTGTAATTTGATTGTTATACAATGTAGTATTGCTATGTATACTTTAAATTATGTCATTTGATAAAATTGACATTATATGTTGATTTCACACTGTTATATGATACTAAAACAAAATGATATGAAATGGAGTGCTCAGGTGTCTAGAACAAGAACAACTACACTGAGGTAAACAATTCGTGCGTGAACTTCCGATTAACAGTGGCATAAACACTGGAAGAACGAGTCGTATACACCCATAATAACCGCAACATCATCTTAAGTGTAGAAATCATTCCCTCACATCACTGGATTGACTTGGGCGGTTATAAACGAAAAAGGGTTGTTGTGGCTTTAATATGGTGAACTTATTGACTTTAGGAGGTGAGAACGTGAAATAGATGTTATTGATTTTGTTTTGAAATATATCGTTTATCATGCATATATTTACCCGGCAACAACGCAAGATCCTCGGCCATGGAACACTGGCCGTTTAACTAAATATGGACGTGAGCAGTTCGGTCTCTGAACAATAAAACTGGTTCTTATTGTCGCGTAGTGTTAGAGTTAGTTCCCTTCCACTAATTCCGATTGGACAGTTATCGAATGAGTCAAATACGCTCTCTTTATTAAATACTGTTTTACGTTAGACAGCCATATACAACCTACGACTAATACTGAAGTATCTCATACATTGTATTAGCAGTATGAGTAATTTACTACCGACGCAAAAGTCTGTAAATAAATTATTCTTTAGTCAAGCTTCCATCCTGAGATGGTTGATATCCCGATATAGCTTTGACTCACTATCCTCCCGTGTCCATACGCATGTCCCATACGGATAAAGACATGATCTCCCGGGTTCAGTGTGAAGACAACGACAGCTGTAGTTTGGTGGTATTCGACGGTCTTGTTTGCATCTGTCCATGATGATCCTCTAACAGCTTCATCCACAACAAGCACAGTCTGGAATGCGTCATTTATTTCACAAATCGTGGTCCATGTGAGGACGCAGAGGCCTGACTCCGGGACGGTGTAAAGTCCGGTCTCTGTATTGTATCCATCTCCACTGTTCAGCGTCTCGTGGTCATATATCACTGCGCTATCCGGAGTAACTGCTTTACTGCTCGACATGGCTACGTGGAAAACTATGGAAGTTTTTGCATTCGGGGCGACACCTACATTAAAATATTATATATAAGAGCTATTTGATTATGGTTCCAATCTAGCTAGTTTTGCACAAATACTTCAATTGGTAATGTGTCGCATTCAATATGATATTTGTTTCTGATTCACAACACCTTCGTGTAATACTATTATACTTACATATCAGAAGACTATATTAAAATTGCACAAAATTATGAAAATACCATCATACTAAAATTTACATCATATTATTGATCATGTACCCCGTAACATAAATTTTAAAACAATTTACGTAAGAACAATTATAATACTTTAAGAATTAATCAGTTACCCTCAAAGTTTCAAAACTCAGACTATCATCAGTGAACCCAGAAGGGACATTTAAGGGCAAGTATTAGCGTATTGTATGCCACATTATTACTTGCGGTACTGTTTGTTAACTTCTAATGAAAATATAGAAGCCTTTTTATACGCCCGTCAAATTTAACGGGAGTATTATGGTATGGGGTTGTCCGTCCGTCCGGCCGCCCGGTCGCCCGGCGTAAACTTTTGTTTGTCCGGCAATCTCCTCCTACATTTTTCGATCGATCTCTTTGAAACTTGGTATACATTATAATCATGATATGAAATTGTGTCTCCCTGAAAAGAATTTTGATTTAACAATTTTTCCAAATGCTATTGCCAGTATTTAATTTTTGTCCGGCAATCTCCTCCTACATTTTTCAACGGATCTCTTTGAAACTTGGTATACATTATAATCATGATATGAAGTTGTCTTTCCTTGAAAAGAATTTTTATTTGACATTTTTTTTTTAAGTAATTGCCCTTTGTTCATTTCAGTATTGGATTTTTGTCCGGCAATCTCCTCCTACATTTTTCAACGGATCTCTTTGAAACTTGGTATACATTATAATCATGATATGAAGTTGTCTTTCCTTGAAAAGAATTTTGATTTGACTTTTTTTTTAAGTAATTGCCCTTTGTTCATTTCAGTATTGGATTTTTGTCCGGCAATCTCCTCCTACATTTTTCAACGGATCTCTTAAACACTTAGTAGGCTCAATAATCATGATATGAAGTTGTGTTTCCTTGAAAAGAATTTTGATTCAACGATATTTTCAAAAGTTATTGCCCTTTGTTCATTTCAGTATTGGATTTTTGTCCGGCAATCTCCTCCTACATTTTTCAACGGATCTCTTAAACACTTAGTAGGCTCAATAATCATGATATGAAGTTGTGTTTCCTTGAAAAGAATTTTGATTCAACGATATTTTCAAAAGTTATTGCCCTTTGTTCATTTCAGTATTTGATTTTTTATCCTGAAATTTTATCCTACATTTTTATAGCATGTCAGCTAACCAACCACTCTTTGAATGATGCAGATCTTATTTCAATGTAAGAAAGTATATAAAACAATATGGCATTCGACGGACGTATATTGTTCCGCCCCGCGGTACTCTTGTTTCCTTTCTGTTGCAAAGTGATATCTCTGGAGCTTGGTTCTGTGAAAAGAATCCAAAACATAATTGTAATCTACTCTGAAAGGACACGTTTGTATTTGGATAGCATTTAAGAAATAGTCAACGATTATTTGGAAACACATTTGTTTTACTATTTTCTCAAAATTTCTACAAACCTAACTATGTTCATTATATCTTTTCTCCCAAGTCAAATGTAATAAAGTCTTTTTTGTGTCTACTCAAGTGTCCATTCGCCGGCGATAAGCAAGGTGACCTACATCACCTAATTATTCAAATTAGGCTGTTCTGTCACTTGATCACTTTATATCGTTGTTTCACAACAGGATGCGCGTGTTTCTCACGTGTAAGCTTGTGGGCAGTTGTCCTATTTTGTCTATTTAACCTGGATATACATGTATTTTGTAAAGATTTTTCATTTTCACTTGTAATTTTGTCCACAGACGATAAACAATTAACACTGACGTCATGATTTATACCTGGTATTTATTTCCATCAATTAAATCCACCCAAACATCGACATCGCTCTCCATCACATAAAATAAGCACTTGACAGAGTTAAAAACTATTTCAAGTAACGTTCGCGGTAATTTATACATTCTACAGGTTTACTTGAAAATAGCAAAACAATTCAAATACACACAAAATTAAATGCGGGTACCCTGATTCTACAAATGAAACTAGCAGGCAATGCTTTTGGAAGAGCATGGTTCGTTGGAAAATAACTCCTTTCGTTATTATTTGGTTATAAACAATGAAAAGTGACGTTACATCGCAAATGAAATAGAATTTGTTATAAACTATCTATGTTAGCAAAAAGATACATATCTTTGAAATATTTCAAACATTCAATGAGATTCTGGCATGCTCTACAATGTTGCATTGGTTTTGAAAAATCAGGCTTCTGAAAATGAATTAAAGTAAATAGCGCTCGTATAATATGATACATTTTTGTAATTTTTCCAAAATAAAGCTGCCCATGTAACAATATTCATCAGCGAATAACGATGAAAGATCGTTCTTTGACATAAAAAAAATAATTTTGTATCTATTTTTGCACGCAAATTTAACGCACTTTCCCATGAGTGTTCCGTTTCCGGAGAAATATTTTGCACACTAAAACTTCATTTCATTTCTGATCGGGTCTTATTATTTTGCATTTTACTTGGGTCTTCGTTTTAATGTATACTTCGTTTATATTTTACTCTAGCTTCGTCTTTGATAACATTACGGGTTTCTTTCATTTTCATGTATAACTTTATGTCTTATATATAAATATATAAATATTAGGACTACTATATCAATTTTGTATCATGCTACTGAAAATGATGCCAACAAAGGTAACACTATGTGACCATCATATTGCTTACGGAAGATAAACATCATTTATTGTGTATATTTATTGTTATTTTTTGCGGGATATGTACTTACGTTTGTTTTGCAATATTGGGCACTTTGACGACGATAAACACCCCGCTCAAAGTCTGCTACTCTCGTCACCAACCTGTTGATAACTTCGTTCTTCTCTACGACCATTTGCTCGAGTGGCGTCATCCCCCGTTTTAGCTGATTACTTTCGGTCATATGACTAGTGATGTTTAATTCCAGTTTGTCAATGCGTTCGTCCTTTTCGGTCAAAAGTCGTTCCATACCTTCAATTTCCGGTAAACGATAGTAACAAGATCCTGCCATTGTTTATGTGGATTTCCACGGTCAACGTTCCGTCGTTTTAGCGCCGGATTTTCGTGTTTAAGATCCTGCCATTGTAGGGGATGAATTTTAGGCTCTATATCCTTTTATTTTAGCGGCTGGCTGCCAGTGTCAAGGTCATGCAACGGCAAAGTTGGAATGTCAGGGTCAATCTCTTCTCTAACCATATGTCCTAAGGTACCGGTCAAACATATATATGGTCAGCACGAAATTGACAAGCGTGGTGGTCGTTCAAACAGACAATGACTTACTATGAAAGCTGAAGCGTATGTATTTCTTCAGTCTTATCTTTTGTACCTGATTGACACTAAACCTAAGGATATATACATATATAGCAGGTTGTCACGGCTAGATGAACAAAACACGATCTTTGGAAACGGGAGCGACTATCTACGTACTGATGTTTTACTACGTTTTGTATTGAAATTATTTTTGTAATTTTCAAGTTAGTGAAGTTAACATTGTCGAACGATTAAAGTAGACATATATGTAATACCAGATGTTTTCCCATTCATTTAATTCTGTATTACAATTGGCTTACCATGGACAGCTAAATACAATTAACTCAGTCGTTTTGATTCTAATTGTAGTCGTTTTTTCCAGAAATCGCTATACCTGATATCATAAACCCAAAAGCGATGTAAAAAAATGGAATATGTAAATCCTGTGAATATTATTATTTACATTAAATGTTAAAGTTTGTTTTAAATGCAGATAGGTCGTTATATCAAATGTGTATATCATATGATGATAATGATTTGTTTTGCAAGCTTTCGAAAATGACCGGTGTCTCAAACCTAAACCGCTGAAAACAACTCGCCGAGCCTCAATGTGCAGAATAAGTAAAGTTACCCGTCAGAAAATGTCAAGAAATTTCATCTACAAAGCACTCTAATACAGCTGGCAGGACGGGTTACATGTGAACCCCTTCCGGCCCCTTAGTGAATGTTAAAATGGGTCATAAAGATGATGCAGCTGGTGACCCCTTCGTCTTTGTTCATTGCTTTACATTCCCTCTTAATCCAAATGGATTCTTTTATTTTCCTACATTTCCAGTTGTCCTCCCTTTCAAGCAAATTGGAGTTGTTCCAGTCTATGATGTGGTTGTATATATTAACATGGTCTGTTATAGCTGATTTATTTATTGTTTTTTCGGATGTCTTCCGCGTATTTCTAGAGTAGACTGTTCTGATGTTCTTTTTGGCGTGTCGAAAATTTCTTCCCACTTTACAACATTAAAATAGTGCCTTATCTGTTTTGAAGGAAATAACTCGATGGCTTTCTTCCAAAATAGACGCAACAAAAACCAGAAGATGGTGTAAGTGTTCTGTGCGTTCTGCTCGGCGACAGCTGATCTAGGTCGATGTTACTTGTAAACAATTATTTCAGTGTCTTTGGTTTATAATCCTTTGCCGTTATTCGTTTTCGCGAGAAAAAAACCTTGAAAGACATGTGGGTTATCTATTGGGATAACATTCTTAACATCGGTATAATTATACTTCATACTGTCCACATCTAATGCAGTGGCCCCCTTTGTTTTGTCTGAGATTTATCTTATTAAGAAAAAAAATCGAAAACTTTATAAAATAATTTTCATAAGAATTCTGAATACATATATATATTATAAAGTGTCAAACATTATGTTGTAGCCTAGAGACTGTAATTCCAAATGCAGGCTATATTATACTCCATTCTAGGCGTCAAAGTCAGATGCTTGTTTGGGCAAACATTTCGGCACTTTTCCGTATGATAATTAATGCTGTACTGGGGTTTATTCTAGTATCTGCATCTCATTCAGTAAGCCAATTACTGATTTAAGTATTTCATACAGTTAGCAAAACACTGATTGAAATTGAGTATACAGTTAGCAAAACACTGATTGAAATCGCTTATACAGTTAGTCAAACAATAATTGATATACATGTATCTCATATAATTTGATAAATAGTATAAGCTGGTATAAGTATACAACATTTAAGAAAATAAAATTCAACTTCCACACACATTTCGTCAAATACTGGCAGAAATATCATCCACTACGTCAAAGAGAGATTAAATATATGTTGAGTGTCTGTCTGATTGTTAAAAAGAACAAATAAGTAGGAACACATTTATTAGCATTTAGGCAAATGAATTACGTCATTTTGCCCCATCTCTCACTCAAGCTTCCATCCTGAGAAGGTAGACTGTCCAAATTCGCTTTGACTCAATATTATCCCGTGTCCATGCGTATGTCCCATACGGATGAAGACACGATCTCCCTGATTCAGTGTGAGGACGACGATAGCTGTAGTTTGATGTAAATCGTTTACCCCTAAAGCATCCGTCCATGATGACCCTCTTACAGCCCCATTCACCACAAGGACAGTCTGGAATTCATTGTGTACATAACAAATAGTGGTCCAGGTGAGGACGTAGGTTCCAGACTCCGGGACGGTGTAGAACCCTTCCCTTGGGTTGTATCCATTCCCCTGGTCCAGAGTCTCCAAATCATACACTACTACTACGTCTATTGTGACATCTTTATTCGAGGACAAAGCTACGTGGAAAGCTATGGTAGCTTTAGGCGTTACGCCTACAATACAATGTAAGAGATAACATATTACAGATGAATAACAGTAATTCAAAACGTGTTGTTTTATCATTGTCAAATATGTATAACCTTGCTGCTCTATATTTGGCTTTGCAATGAGTTAACAATAGTTTATTTTTTAAACATAAGACATATATATTACATAGGGCTTTCAATTCGGACATAAAATACCCTTATATTTAAATTAAAAAACCACACATAGATTGATATGTTTATATTATTGTCTGTGTTTACACCAACATATCTTCGTTTACGTTTACCATGTTTCAAATTACGTAATACAGAGTATAGGAATTAACAATTTACGTAGTTCAGACTATAGGGATTGTCAAATGCGTTATAAGGCTACAAAGATTATTGCATAATAATATAAGACACTTTATATTAAATTCACAATACATTTGTTAAGACATAGGATTTTTGACATGATCAAACTACTCACTTAATACTAACTTTAAATACTTACATTTGCTTTTATACGTTAGAGTTATAATGAAGACATCAGTTAAACATCATACACATCGTGTCTATTTTGTTCGGATATGTACTTACGTTTTTGTTGGAATCTTGAGTGCTTCGCTATCGATAAATCTTCGGACCCGTTATCAGTGTACACAACAGATTCATCCTCGTCAGATTTATTCACGAGATCATTAAATTGAGGCAGCACAGTGCTAGTATTTTGATAGTTTGAGGTTTTAGGAACGAAATGTTGGGAGGTAAACATCTTCTTAACACTAGATCCAGGTCTGGAGTCCGAAGTTTGAACAAGGTCAGTTTGAGATTCGTTTTCAGTCCTCTGAGATCTAACAGTGTCACGTTCACTTGTAATGGCATCAGACATCACAAGTCCCTCTAAGTCTGATACTCTTGCCAACAATTTGCCGACAACTTCATTTTTCTCTGATACTTCTTTCTCAAGTGACGTCATCCCCCGTTTCAGCTGCTTAATTTTAGTCATCTGACTAGCGATGTTTAATTCTAGTTGGTCAATGCGTTCGTCCTTTTCAGTCAGATGTCGTTCCATATCTTCAATTTTCCTGTAAACGAAAGTGACAAGGTCTTGCCATTGTTGAAGGTGAATGTCGTGTTTAAGGTCCTTCTGTGTTAGCGGCGGGCTGCCAGAGTCAAGGTCATGCAACAGCAGAGAAGGAATATCAGGATCAAGCTCATTTCTAACCTTATTTCCTAAAGAACTGGTCAAACATATGATCAGTACAAGAATCACAAGCATGGTGGTCATCTTGTCGTTCAAACAGACACTGACTTATTTTTGCAACTTGCCCTAATTTATAACTTTAGTCTTATCTTTTGTACCAAGTTGACAGTAAACCTAAGGATATACATATAAAGCAGTTGTCACGACCTTTGGAAAGGGGACGACAATCTACATACTGATATTTTGATACGTTTTGTGTTGGAATACTTTTCGTGTGGTTTTTTTAAGTTGTTGAAGTTTACATCGTTCGACGATGTAAGTTATCATAGAATTGATATCTGATCATTTCCCATTCCATTGTACTTCCGGTTTTATGTCTGGTATAGTCCCGCATCACAGTCTATCAGAAAAAACACCAATATCTTCGGGTATACAAACTTGAGCCAAATTTACGGTCACAAGCGTATTTTCCCACTATATTACGTACTTTCTGCATTTTGTAAACATTATTTTTTTTAGGTCATTTTCAAGATATTTCAGTCAAACAGGTTTTGTGTAAATTTTTTGTCAAATTTTCATAAAGAACGCCTGAAATATGTGTCAGTTCAAAATTCACAATCACCTCGGTCTCACAGACGGTGTTTTACCCACACAATTCTAGTGTAGGTTCCTCCAATCTTATCTTTTGTACCAGTATGACACTTAATCTCAACATTTACAGCAGTAGGCAAGACCAGATAAAAACTAGAACACGATCATTGGAAAGGGGGCGTCAATCTATATACTGATATGTTTTCTACAATTCATGTTGATGTTTTTCATAGGTTTTAAGTTGGTGATGATTACATCGTTTTAAAATGTAAATAAACAAATATTTAGTGCCAGATGTTTTCCCATTCCTTTAATACTTCCGATATATCACATGGGTAGAATACACGTGTATATAGACTGGTACCTCGGTCGGATTAATATATGGAAACCAACACATGTCACCTGATAATTTGATTTCATTAATACGAAATACTACGGAAGAGCATTTAGGGCCATGTAGAAAATAAATAAGTTTCGAGATTTCGAAATTTCGAGATATTTTCTTGAAATTTAAGTTAGGAAGTCGAAATTTCGAGTTATTATCTTGAAACTTCAAGTTATCATCAGAAAGGTTCGTGCTAAGACATATTTTAACATCTCTTAAACGGCTCTTAGATATTGTTGTTTGAAATTTGAAATTTTATTTATAAAGCTTTTAACCCAAACCCTTAACCCTGACTCCGGCTAGCACTTTAAGTTTACCTTTGACCTCGTTACTCTAATAAAGAAAACGATTCACACAGCTGGTATACATGTACAATGTAATATACCCAAGTATCATGACTCTAAACCAAATGGTTCTTAAGATATTGTTGTTGGAAGTTTTTAACATATTTGACCCCTGTGACCTTGAAAGTAGGTCAAGACCATTTTAATGTGGAGCACTCCATCCCAGGTACCCACTTGTCAAATAGCATGACCCTTGGCCTTATGGAACTTGAGAAGAAGATTGTTAAATCTTTTAACCCATGTTGACCTTTGACCTCTGACTTACACTTAAAATTGTCCTTTGACCCCATTACTGTAATGAAGAAAAAGATTTACACTGATAGTGTACATACGAATCCAAATATCATGACTCTTGTCCAAATGATTCTTAGGATATTTTTGTTTGAATTGTTTAACATATTTGACCATGAAAGTAAGTCAATACCATTTTAATGAGGAAACTTTATAGCACCCTATCCCACGTACCTACTGGTTAAATGTCGTGACCCTAGGTCATCCAATTCTTCAGAAGAAGTCGTTCAAAAGAAAAAAAATGACGGACGGACCCCTTCGGGCCAGGTGAGCTTAAAACGAAATAATGTTGTTTTTTCTACATGGCCCTTTTTCTCTTCCGTAAGATACTGATCTTGAGGTTTATGTTGGAGGATTTGTAGTTATTTGTTTGTTTGTATTTATTTTACCGCAATCTTATTGTTAATATTTAATTCCGAGATTACATTTTAACTTGTCTTATCTTGAAAATCACTTAACGGAATATTTTGAAAATACTATCAGAGAAACATTAGAAAATTATTTTTTAAGGATTCAATTATATTTTTGTTTAAGTGCCTTATCTTGAAAAAACACTTAACAGAATTATATGAAAATATTATCAGGTAAACAGCAGAAAATTATTTTTCAAGAAACAATTAATGTTTGTTTCAGCGGCATTGCAATTTACATCAGAAAGATTAACTGGAAAATGCTCGCCATATATTATCATCTTGTGCTCTCCTTACCTTAGGCCTTTGAATTGTACAGAGAAGTTGTTTTAATATTTTCATTACATCTGACTCTTTAATTCTTCAACTTAACTAACCATTGTCCTTTTGATTTTAATATATGAAAGTAATTCATTTAAACAATTTTGAAATATCTTCGTCACAGCATTCTACTTGCTAAATGATATTACCATTGGTCTTTTCGTTAGTCAAAATACGTCGTTTCAATTTATCCAACACATTTGACCCATGTGAATTTGAATATGAGTGAAGGTCATTTATTGACACAACCTTGATACCCATTTGTCCTAGCGCCTTAGGCCTGTAGTTTATTCAAAATAAGTCATTTTATGATTTTCATTCATCTGACTCCTTCGATCATGGGTAATGGAGAAGGTCATTTATTTGAGCAAACTTGGTAGCTCTTCATCTGAGCTTGTTGTCGAGCGAATATCATTACCCAAGGCCTTTTGGTTACTCGGAAGAAGCAGTTTTAAACATTTTTAACGCATTCAATGTGAGCTACACATGCATGTATATATGTAGCGGAGCTGAACTGAACTGGATCAGCTCATTTGGGAGAACGTCCGTCTAGATTGTGGAGGGTCCCGGGTTCGAGTCACGGTCCGGCCGTGTATTTTTTTTTTATCTCTTGTTACCATGGGACCAACTACCGACCTTTGTTAACAGTACTTGGTGAATACTTTGAAAGACCTTGGTATTATATGGTGTTGTTATCCAGGATAAAAACTTATAAACAGAACGGGGAGTGTAGCGGAACTGGACTGGGTCGTTTGCCGGCGAGTAGTAAGCTTAATGGGTAGAGCATACGTCTAGAGTTCGAAGGGAGGGTCCAGGGTTGGAATCTCGGTATGGTCATCTATTGTTTGTCTGCGACTTTAAGATGACACGCCACTGTATGTCCAAGAGTACCGGGAATGCAAGCCGTAAATTCAGAAGTATCGCGCCCTCTTATCGGTCACACAGACACATGTCTACCTGTACAGGATTTATTTTAGCTTCTTCAGTACCATGTTGGCACTAACCTCAGGATATACATATTAAAAAGAAGTCATGAAAAGTTAAGAACCAGAGCACGGTATTTGTAAATTTAATACGCTCTGTCGCTGTTTTGTTCAGCTGGTGAAATATATTTCGTTCGACGATGTTAGTAAAAGTATGATTTATATCTGTTATTTCTCCGATCCTTTTGTACTTCCGGTATAGCACCAGAATAGTATTCATTTAAGACTTGTACCTCAGTCTATATAATCTATGGACAAATGCACCGGCCATTTAACATAACGTGTACTTTCCTATTAAATGTACTTTCTATCTCGTTTATACGAGATTTCGGTCTCGTTAACACACAATCTGAATCTCATTATACCGAGATGTGGACCTCAATATTACGAGATACACTGTAGTTAGCTGTATTATTCGACACACTGATATCAGTGATAATACGAGAAATCGATTTCGTCATATCGAAGTACGTCCCTCGGTAATACGAGATAGAGATGTCTTAAATACGAGATATTGATCTGATTCGTACGAGATATATAAGATATTGTTTTCATTAATACGTGTCACGGATCTCGGTAACAAGACACATATGGATCCCGATCTGGTTATTATAATTAAGTTAAAGTTCAAGTTCTTTATTTGTTGAAGTTTTACAACTTATGGCAATTACAGATAAGACAAAGACACCCACAAGGACACACTCACACTTGATCGCACACATCATCCTCATCATCAAGAACACTCACACTAACGCGCACACATCATCTTCATCATCCTCAGTGATAGCAATCTCGTTAATACGAGATATCTTGTTCCGTTTAATATAAGATACGGATTTCGTTTATATAGGAGAAATATCTCGATAGCACGAGAAAGTGATCGATTATTTCGGGTCATTCAGGTTCCATTGCCTCTGAACTAATAAAAGTCCTACGTTTTAGTTGGATTACATTTTTTGTATTGAATACAACAACTGTTTGAACTAAAAGAAATTTAACATTTTACAAAAATACTAGGTATAATATGTAAATACTAACAGAATACGGGAAAATTATTGGTATGATGATAATCGGGAAAATACCAGGTCATAGCATATATAGCGTGTATAGAACTTTGTTAATCACAGTATAGAACTTTGTTTATTCACAGTAAAAGATGGGGGTTTTCAGACTCTTCTCAGATATGAAGAGGTATGTAATTGTTTAAATTGAATAATGGTGAGAAATTATTAATCTCATCTGATTTCATGTCTTCAATTCCAGAGGAGACTGAAGAGAACACCACACACGCTCCTACTCTCAGAAAGCCTCACGCGTCCTGACGATGGTTTTATCCAGACACGACGAAATCATTCACTCGGAAAAAGTAAAACGACAGAAAAACTTACAAACTTTAAAGCAATATATGAAAAGTCCTGAAAATCCTGCCGGGTCACTATAAACCCGTGGCCATGCGTATGCCCAATACGTATAAAAACATGGTAATGTTGTTTAAGGATTGAATCTTGCTTATGACGATTTCAATGGGTGATGAAATGAGTTTGTCATGCGTGTAACAAATTCAATATGAACTTCTAAGGTCAACTCAATTCATCACCCCATGAAATCGACCAAAGCAAGTTCCAAACCTTATATTTCAATCAACGTTTTTTTCCCCTCTCAATAATTGGAACTTGTGAAGTCCATTCTGATAGTTTGTCCCAGGTTCTGGAGCTTGTGCAGTTCTACGTAGTGTTAAAATATATAGTTCGCCATTGAAGGACCATCATACAAAATGATGGTGTACGTTGATAGTTCAATATACAAATTATGTCGAAACAAAACACAAAAACATATTTTGAATGTCATGTTTTATTTTTGTTGATGAAAACATAAGATATCAAATTTTCTGACGCGTCATCGCGGAAGATTAATGTCTAGACGTGGTGCGCAGGCTCAGCTGAGAGTCTACGACAGCCATCTTTTTACTAGCTCGAAGTGGAGAGCCGCTATATTTCAAGGTTCTACTAATATTTGGTAGTTGCATTGAGTCCAACTTGAGTTATTGTTATTTGATATAATTGACATTATACATTGATTTCACATTATGATATGGTTCTGAAACAAAGTTACATGTAAGTTTAATGAAGTGCTCAGGTTACCAGAACAAGCATAAAAACGTTCGTGCACCATTTTGAACTCCTAGTTAACGCTTGCATCAACAATGAAAGAAAGATTCGGACGCACTTAAATAAGAAAATATCATTTTAAGCGAAAATTCGTTCCGTATGTGTCAGCCTCCTTGAATTGTCTGAGTCGGGTATGAACGAAAATATGATGCAGTGGCTTTAATTTGTTGAAATAAGTATGCATTGTTTCAAATTGTGTCGTTAATTATGCCGATATTAACCCAGAATCAACGAACACCGAGCTCATTCAGTCTCCGAGCCTAACAACTGGTGTTTGTATTCTCTTAATTGTACGAGTTAGTTCCCTTCATATATCAATCCCAACTTTGACAGACGACTATATAAATCGTGTTCACCTGTTACTGATTCAGTTGATAACCTTCCTTAACTTGGACAAATCGTTTGACAATAACCTACATAATGTATTCCTTTAGAGTTAGCAAAACTGAGTGAAATTTCCCGAATGGAACCCTTTTTTTAGCCTAAACCTCAGTCATATTTGCGCCGATTTCCGAAAAGGCGCCCGGGCGATACTTTTTTTGGTCAAAATCGGCCGGCTAGCCAGGGAACCGTAAGGACGCCGGGAGATTATCGGCCAATTTTTAGACGCCGTACGGGCTATATACGTATCCCACCCGCCACACGGACATCTTCCGGCTACTGTACGACAGCCCGGCCATCGTCAGATAGCCTTGTGGTATCCTTGAGATAGTCTTGTGGTATCCTTGAGATAGTCTTTTGGTATCCTTGAGACGGTCTCCCTACGGTATCCTTCAGATGTCCGTTCGATTAAATCGGGCAAATTGGTTGCTGGGGCCATGCGGTGCCCGGATCTAATGTCACCATTATTCTCACGGCAAATCCCAGTCATCGGAAAAAGGTCCCCGGCACCCGGGACGCCGGGAAGCCTGCCGATTCCTACTTACCGGTCGGCGGCCGGCGCAAATGTGACTGAAGCATATTACATGACGCAACTTGGAGTTGTTGACATACGATTTCCGATTAAAAAAAATGTTAATCTCGGAAAAAAATTCAAATAACAGTTTTTATCAGTTATCTCAGTCTTCATTATGTTCATTTGTAGTCATTGTTCAATTATGATTGGAACAAACGGGTTATGTAATAACTGTGAGTATTATAGTTAATATTGTTCAACACAAATCGTTAATATATATTTATAATGAATTTTCTTTGGGTTTTTTATACTAAATACTCAAATCTGATTGGTCGAACAATTCTTTTCATTGTTCTAAGAAAGAAAGAAAAAAAGCAACGCCCTCGGAATTTCTTTCGCTATGTATTATTGCGCACGCAATAAATTGCCACTATTAAAAATTAATTGATCGGGTTTTTTTTGTTATGGCTCCATTTTATGACAGGTTATTGAAATTCATTATAAACATTGAAGGTTTTTTTATAATTTCGTCGGATTATGAAAATAATTGTTTTTTCAAATTTTAAAATAATCCGCTACGCAGATTCCATCTGTTTGCATTAAAAATTCATTTCATACCCCATGAAAGAAAATTACAACATCATTGCTTTAATATATTTTAAAAAGAGTGAATGTATTTCTTGTTAAGCAGACAATAATAACCTTTTTGTTTGTTTTTGTTTTTATAACTACTATCAAACAATCGAACAGTAACTTATTTATTCTCAAGGAAATAATACGTTTCCGGTTAATATTCAAGGAATGACTGACCCAAATATTCAACACAATCCGGAAAGTGTGTACGTGTTCAGTGTGTTCTGCTTGTTATTGTTAGCTGTCCGCTTTCTCCTTTAATGTTATTGATAACAATACACAAAACAATCAAACATTGCCTAATATCTCGATCTCTCTTTTCTAGGAAGGAGGAGAGTGGGTACGTGGTCTGTGTGTTCTGCTCGTTATGGGTTTTTATTTCTAATGCTTCATTCACTAAGATAATAAAACAAACCTTTCCCCATATAACAACCCACGTCAACCTAAGAATCTCATATAAGCCTTTGAGAAAAAACTTTCCATTCATTAATGATACCATACTTATCAGAGATATAGATTTTAGTGTTCTGCTTCAAAGGACTACATGTATGTATGATTTGGGTGCGTTTTGGCCCCAACATGCATCAAAATTCAAAACCTTTAAATAAACTGTCAAACGACTGTTTCTTTAATTTTGAATACTTTCGAAATACTATCATGAAGGTATTTATTTGTTTTTCTAGTTATTGTTGCCATCGCAACAAGTTCAGATTGGAATAATTTAGAAAATTTAGAATATTGAGTGCATATTGTCATATTTTGCATAGTTTTTCTCCTTGAAACTATAAAGCGCATGCTTGGAAAAACTTAATATGTAATGATAATGTGTAGGCACCTATAATACATCTTTAGGAGAAATATAAAGTTTGTTCAAGAGTTCCTTCTAAGTGAAAATCTGTCTGAATGTTCAAACTTAATAAATGTATGCAAATATTAACAGGTTACCATAGCAGCCATAATTGAAACACAAATAAATGTTTACATGATAGTACCGGGGAAGTAATCAAAATTGAAGAAACAGTCATTTGAAAGTTCTATTAAAGATTTTTTATTTCGATGGATTTTGGGTCATAAGAAGCCAAACTATAGATAGTCCTTTCTACCGTTATTATTTAACACTTCGAAACATCTTGATAGATCCAAGTTCATGTTTCCCTGCTGGGCTATATATTTGTCTATTATGTAAGTAACAAATTTTAAGAAGTTACCTTATACTGTCGACCAAATCAAATTAATATCTACTGCTGTAGAATCCATTAAATGTTTTGGAACTTTTAGAACTAGCCATCAAAAAAAAAAAAAAAGTAATCTGAGCATTTTTAAAACTTTCGAACACGATCTTTTAAAGCCAGATTGAAGCGGTCAATAATTACCCGATGCTTTCAAAGATATCGATTAAATTAATATGGCGTATCGCATAAATTATGGTCTGGTTTAGTTTGTTTGTGTTTAACGTCCTATTAACATCTTTGGCCATTAAAGGACGTGCCAGGATTCGGAGATAAACCACCGACTTACAGTCAGTACCTGGCGCCTACCTCACGTAGGCCTCGAACCCGTGACCCAGTGGTGGAGGGACAGTCAGACTATTAACCACTTAGCCACCGCGGCGCATACGTTATGAATTGTCATTGATGATGCTACAGCACATACATTGTAATTCCTAACCCGATTCATTCAAACCCTATCAATGGCAGCTGTACTGTTTTGATTGTGAGGTATCTACACTTCGTACAGTTAGCCAGACACTGATAGAAGCTGATATTGACTAATAAGTAAAACGAACCAAAGAGAAGAAACAATATTTCATAAGGAGTAAGTGTGTTTTTTATCGGGAGTAAGTGTAACAAAGCCAGAAATAGAAATTATTTTGATATTTATGTCCATTTATTATTCCTCAGTCTAGCTTCCATCCTGAGAAGGTTGATATCCCGGTATACTGTGCGCTGTTACTCACTATTGCCCCGTGTCCATCAGCATGCCCCAAACGGATGAAGACACGATCTCCCTGGTTCAGTGTGAGAACGACGACAGCTGTAGTTTGGTGGTAATCGTTTATCTCATTCGAATCTGTCCACGATACTCCTTTTACAGCTCCATTCACAACAAGAACAGTCTGAATTGCTTCATGTGCATTACAAAGAGTGGTCCAGGTGAGGACGTAGGTCCCTGACTCCGGGGTAATGTAAAGCCCTTCCCTTGGGTTGTATCCATTCCCCTGGTCCAGAGTCTCCTGATCATACACTACTACGTCGTCTTCTGTGACAACTTTACTGGTGGACAAAGCAACGTGGAAAGCTATGGTAGCTTTAGGCGTTACGCCTACAATACAATGTAAGAGGTAAAATATTACAAATGAATAATAGCAATTCAAAACGTGCTGTTTTATCATTGTCAAATATGTATAACCTTGTTGCTATATATATGGATTTGCAATGCGTTTCCAATAGTTTATCTTTTAAACATAAGACATATATATCACATAGGGCTTTCAATTCTGACATAAAATACACTTATATTTACAAGACAACAGCATTGTTTTTTGTTGTTGTTTTTTTACAAATATTTTATTCCCCCAGCCATTTTTTTCATAAATATGTATATAAATATACTGCTTCGAAGAAGATATATATATACATATATAATTATTTTGATACGGGTGCCAGGGTTGGGGAGCCCTGGAGTCAGCCCCTGAACAATATGGTGTCCTCACGCAGAAGGGTTCTCATTCAACATCCACAGCATACATAGATTGATAATAAATTTATATTATTGTCTTTGTTTACATAAATATATTTTCGTTTACGTTTTCATGTTTTAATTTACGTAATACAGTGTATAGGAATTAACAATTTACGCAGTTCAGACTACAGGGATTATCAATTTTCGTAATGCAGACTATATGGATTATCAAATGCGTTATAAGGCTAGAAGGATTAATACATAATATGACACCTTATATTAAATTCACAATACATTTGCTAAGACATTGGATTAACAAAATAAAGTCTTTTCATAATCGAACTACTCACTTAAGATTAACTTTAAATTATTACATTTGCTGTAATACGTTAAAGTTATAATGAAGACATCAGTTAAACATCATACACATCGTGTCTATTTTGTTCTGATATGTACTTACGTTTTTGTTGGAATTTTGAGTGCTTCGCTATCGATAAATCTTCGGACCCGTTATCAGTGTTTACAACATATTCTTCGTCGTCAGATTTATTCAGGAGATACTCAAAGCGAGGCAGCACAGTTCTAGCATTTTGATAGTTTGAGGTTTTAGGAACAGCAGGTGGTGAGGTTAACATCTTCTCAGCATTAGATCCAGGTCTGGAGTCCGAAGTTTTGACCAGGTCAGTTTGAGATTCGTTCTCAGTCCTCTGAGATCTAACAGTGTCACGTCCACTTGTAATGGCATCAGACATCACCATTCCCTCTAAGGCTGATACTCTTGCCACCAATTTGCCGACAACTTCATTTTTCTCTGATACTTCTTCCTCAAGTGACGTCAACCCCCATTTTAGCTGCTTGATTTCAGTCTTCTGAATAGCTACGTTTAATTCCAGTTGATCAATGCGTTCGTCCTTTTCGGTTAGTAGTCGTTCCATACCTTCAATTTTCTCGTTAACGAAAGTGACAAGGTCCTGCCATTCTTGAGGTGAATTTCCGTGGTCAACTTCCTGTCGTTTTAGCGCGGGATTTTCGTGTTTAAGGTCCCGCCGTTGTAGGGGAGGAGTTCCAGGTTCTGGGTCCCTTTGTGATAGCGGCAGGCTGCCAGGGTCAAGAACATGCAACAGCAGAGGTGGAATATCAGGGTCAAGCTCTTTTTCAACCATATTTCCTAAAGAACCGGTCAAACATGTGATCAGTACGAGATTCACAAACATGGTGGTCATCTTATCGTTCTAACAGACACTGACTTATTATTGCAGCTTGCGCTAGTTTATAACTTCAGCCTTATCTTTTTGTACCAAGTTAACACTAAACCTAAGGATATACATATATAGCAGTTGTCACGACCTTTGGAAAGGGGACGACAATCTACATACTGATATTTTGATACGTTTTGTGTTGGAATACTTTTTGTGGTTTTTTTTCAAGTTGTTGAAGTTTACATCGTTCGACGATGTAAGTTATCATAGAATTGATATCTGATCATTTCCCATTTCTTCGCAGTTCCGGTTTTATGTCTGGTAAAGACTCGCATCACAGTCTATCAGAAAAGCAATATCATCGGATATACATACTTGCATTTTGTTAGCATTTTGTCTTTAGATCATTTTCAAGAGGCACCCTTCCCTTTTGTTTCTGTAGGGACAAAATTCATTTCAGGAAAATTCACTTAAATGTACAAAACAAAGCCATGTCATGAGATATTGAAAATTGAGTAGTAGTAAATCTACATGTCCAAAGTAGCGGCCATTTTCGTTAGTTCAAAAATCACAACCATCTCGGTCTCACAGACGGTGTTTTACCCATAAAATTCTAGTGTAGGTTCCTCCAATCTTATCTTTTGTTCTAGTATGACACTTAATCTCAACATTTACAGCAGTAGGCATTACCAGATAAAAACTAGAACACGATCATTGGAAAGGGGGCGTCAATCTATATACTGATTTCATGATGATGTTTTTCATGGGTTTTAAGTTGGTGAAGAAACAAATATTTGGTGCCAGATGTTTTCCCATTCCTTCAATACTTCCTATATATCACAAGGGTAGTGTGCACTTATATACCTCGGTCGGTTTAATATATAGAAACCAACACATGTCATCTGATAAATTGATCTCATTACTACGAAATACTACGGAAGAGCATTAGGGTCATATGTAGAAAAAAATAAGTTTCGTTTTTTCGTGAAAATAACACGATATTGCTGTTTGAAATTTGAAACTTTATTTTTAAATCTTTTAAACCCAACCCTTAACCCTGACTCCGGCTAGCACTTAAAGTTGACCTTTGACCTCAATACTGTAATACAGAAAACGATTCACACAGCTGGTCTATATAACATACCCAAGTATCATGACTCTAAACCAAATGGTTCTTAAGATATTGTTGTTTGAAGGTTTTAACATATTTGACCCCTGTGACCTTGGAAATAGGTCAATGTCATTTTTATGAGGAGCATTCCATCCCAGGTACCCACTGGCCAAATATCATTACCCTGGGCCTTATGGAACTTGAGAAGAAAATTTTAAAAGCTTTTAACCAATGTAGACTTTTGACCCCTGACTAGCACTTAAAGTTGACCTTTGACCTCATTACTGTAATTAGGAAAAAGATTTGCACTGCTGGTGTTCATAACATATCCAAGTCGCATGACTTTAGCACGTATGGTCCTTTAAAATTTGTTGTTTGAACTGTTTAACATATTTGACCCCTGTGACCTTGAAATTAGATCAAGGTCATTTTAATGCGGAAAGTTTATAGTTTATAACGAAATCATTTTTCTTCTACATGGCCCTTATTCTCCCCCGTAAGATACGGATCTTGAGGATAATGTTGGAGGATTTGTTGTTATTTGTTTTATTTGTCTGTTTGTATTTATCTTACCGCAATCTTATTGTTAATATTTAATTCCGAGATTAACTTGCATTATATTGAAAATTACTACCAGAGAAACATTAGAAAATTATTTTTTAAAGATTCAACAAATTTTTGTTTAAGTGTCTTATCTTGAAAAACACTTAACAGAATTATGTGAAAATATTATCAGGTAAACATCAGAAAACTATTTTTCAAAAAATAATTAATGTTTGTTTCAGCGGCATTGCAATTTACATCAGAATGATTAACTGGAAAATGCTTGCCATGTATTATCATCCTGTGGTTTTTGTTTATTGAGAAGAGGTTCTTGAAGGTTTATGCAAATTTTACCTTGTGACAATAAAAGTGGATCAAAATCAATCACTTGAACAAGCTCGATAGTAGCCCTTCATCCAAGAACGGCAAAACTACCTACCTTAGGCCTTTAAATTGTACAGAGAAGTTGTTTTAATATTTCCAGCACATCTGGCTCTTAAGTTCTTCAACTTATTTAACCATTGTCCTTTTGATATAAAGTAGATATGAAAGTAATTCATTTAAACAATTTTGAAATATCTTCGTCCCAGCATTCTACTGGCTAAATGATATTACCATCGGTCTTTTGGTTATTCACAATACGTCGTTTCAAGTTATCGAACACATTTGACCAATGTGAACTTGAATATGAGTGAAGGTCATTCATTTACACAATACAATCTTGATACCCATTTGTACTAGCGCCTTAGGCCTGTAGTTTATTCAAAATAAGTCATTTTACGGTTGTCGAGCAAATATCATTACCCAAGGTCTTTTGGTTACTCGGAAGAAGCAGTTTTAAACATTTTTAACACATTCAAACAATGTGATCTTGAATATGGGTAAAGGTTATTTATTTGGATTATCATGACTGCCGTTCGTCAAAGTATGCTTCTGGCCTTATTATGTAAATATCCTGTGTCTGCAGTTTATTGAGTAAGGGAAAAGGTCATTAATTTGAACAAATGGTAGCTCTTCATCGGAGCATGTTACCGATCAAACATTATCAGCCAATACTTTTGGTTAGTATAAAGAAATTGTTTAAATGTTATCAACACATTTGGCCCCTGTGACCTCGAATAAGGATGCAAGTCATTACATCCCGGCAGACTACTTGCCAAATATCATCAGTTTATATGAAGGTCTTTTCGTTATCAAGAAGATATGTCGTTTAAATAAAATATTGACACTGGACGAATGAAAGACGGACGTGGCATCACGAAATAAACTATCTTTATTTACCCTTTGGGCAAGGTGAGCTACACATTCATGATGTATATATGTAGCGGAGCTGAACTGAACTGGATCATTTGGGAGAACGTCCGTCTAGATTTTGGAGGGTCCCGGGTTCGAATCACGGTCCGGCCGTGTATTTTGTTTATCTCTTGTTACCATGGTACCAACTACCGACCTTTGTTAAAAGAACCTGGTGAATACTTGTAAAGAGGCCAAACCTTGGTCTTATATGGTGTTCACAGTTGTAATCCAGGATAAAAAAAAAACTTATAAAGAGAAGGGGAGTGTAGCGGAACTGGACTGGGTCGTTCGCCGGCGAGTAGTAAGCTAAATGGGTAGAGCATCCGTCTAGAGTTCGAAGGGAGGACCCTGGGTTGGAATATCGGTCTGGTCATCCATTTTTTCCTTTCCTGGTTCATAGAAGCAAAATGTCTGCGACGTTTAGATGCAACGCCGCTGTATGTCCAAGAGTACCGGAAATACAAGCCATACATATCAATACAAAATTCAGAAGCATTGCGCCATCTGATCGGTTACACAGACACTGGTCTACCTCTACAGGGTTTGTTTTAGCTACTTCAGCCTTATCTTTTGTACCAGGTTGGCACTAACCTCTGGATATACATATTTAAAAGAAGTCATAAAAGTTAAGAACCAGAGCACGATATTTGTAAATTTAATACGCTCTGTCGCTGTTTGTGTTCAGCTGGTGAAATTTATTTCGTTCGACGATGTTAATAAAAGTATGATTTATATCTGTTATTTCCCCGATCCTTTTGTACTTCCGGTATAGCACCAGAATAGTATTCACTAAGACTTGTACCTCAGTCTATATAATCTATGGACAATTGCACCGGCCATTTAACATAACGTGTACTTTCCTATTAAATGTTCTTTCTATCTCGTTTATACGAGATTTCGGTCTCGTTAACACACAATCTGAATCTCATTATACCGAGATGTGGACCTCAATATTACGAGATACACTTTAGTTGGCTGTATTATTCGACACATTGATATCAGTGATAATACGAGAAAGCGATTTCGTCATAACGAAGTACGGATCTCGGTAACACGAGATAGAGATGTCTTAAATACGAGATATTGATCTGATTCGTACGAGATATATAAGATATTGTTTTCATTAATACGTGTCACGGATCTCGGTAACAAGACATGTACACGTATGGATCCCGATCTGGTTATTATAATTAAGTGTAGCAATCTCGTTAATACGAGATATCTTGTTCCGTTTAATATAAGATACGGATTTCGTTTATATCGGAGAAATATCTCGATAACACGAGAGAGTGATCGATTATTTCGGGTCATTCAGTTTCCATTGCCTCTGAACTAATAAAAGTCCTATGTTTTAGTTGGATTACATTTTTTGTATTGAATACAACAACTGTTTGAACTAAAAGAAATCTAATATTTTACAAAAATACTAGGTTTAATATATAAATACTAACAGAATACGGGAAAATTATTGGTATAATGATAATGGGGATAAAAACAGGTCATCGGCATTTACATGTAATGTAAATGAAGCATATATATATAGCTTGCATAGGACTTTGTTTCTCCACAGTAAAAGATGAGGGTTTTCAGACGCGTCTCAGATATGGACGAGCTATATAATTTTTAAAATTGAATAATGGTGAGAAATTATTATTATCATCGGATTTCTTGTCTTCAATACCAGAGGAGATTGGAGAGAACACCACTTCTAGTAGATCTAGTATCCTTATATTGTCTGTTATCCTTTTTTATGTAATTTAAATCGCTTTCTAACATGATTGTACATGGAAACCTTTATGTCAATTCACAGTAAGGTTCACGTATATATATATATATATATATACATAGACAACAAACTAGAACTGATTCATTACGAAATCTTCATGTTAACAAACATATTCATGAATGTGCTGGAGATAAATTTAATGTATTACCTTTGTATCAACTATTTTCATCAGACACTATTTTAAGAGAAACGAAAGAAGACCAACTAATAAAAATATTAAAACCGAGTCTCAACAGGCCACAATAAAATTTTACGCCAAATTGTCCACCAATCTTGTGTACTTCGTGACGTCACGTTACTATTGTAGTGTGATGACATGTAATTGTGACGTCACGAC